ACCCACGTGCTTGCTAAAACTAACTATTGGATTATAAGATATTCATCATCAGCCTGTTGCAAAGGGTGTTCCTGGCTGCTGCTTTACACATTATTGAAGCTGACTGTCTCCACCAGGAGTAAGGAAATTTCCAACTGGTGGTTTGGGTTGGATGCTTTGTTGCATGTGTTTGTCCAAAAGCAGTCGCTTCACTGCCGTAACTATGAAGCCCTTCAACGTCTTGCTTTTGTCTAAGACTGTATCTAAGATGCAACCAAACCTTTATGAGAAAAAAAATACTACTTTGTAAAACAGTCAAAAGCTCAAAGATTATTGCTGGTGTTTTCATCAGAAATGGTAAAAGCAGGGTAGAGTCTGGACAGCGTCACCTCTTTGGGTCACAGTCCCCAGCACAGAGTAGGTACGAGGTTTGGGAGACCAGTTCCTGGTCTACCCTGCCTTTCTGCAGGGGACTAAAATAGATCCAAAATAAGGAAGGCTATTTTGAAATCCTCCTGATAGCTGGAACAGATCTTTAGTTCAGGCCCAGGCAACAGCAGGTAGCAACGTAGCAAATGTCAAGCCCAAGCTCGAAATATTTTCCCAAGCCCTATAATACTTTGTACAAAACATAGGAAAGCGTGCCAGAGAAAGAGGAGGACAGCACCAGGGTTTTAGATCCCTGCTACAGCAAGGCATTGATCAAGTGATCAATCCGATTCTAGAAAGTGGATCAGTGTTTGCACTTGCCAGAGTAGACAGTGCCTCTCTCCCACAGCCACCCCCTGCCCAGAGGGCAGGAAGGAAGAGCCTTGCTGACCCTAGACCAGTGATCAACTTAAGCTGGAGCACACAAGCAAGACTCACCAGTTTCTGTCATTATTCTTGCAGGGATAGGGGACCTAATTTGAAGTCTACAGATATGATAGGTTTCACATATTTCTAGTTGCCAGGCATAAATAGAAAGATAAGGAAAGAGTTACATGTGTGAAGAATTCCAGATCCTACAGATTTATGACCAGTTTTCAGATTTATTGTTTCCTCAAAGTGCAAGGTTTATCACACTTAAAGGTTTCTGTGTTAACAAGACCCGTGGCTAGTAGCAGCTTAACCCAAACTTACTGACATTTCTTATCTACCCCACGATTTTATTCATGCTGTAGCCTGTTGAAGCAGTTTACATTTTACATTAAATAAAGAGTCCTTTTATTTGCAAGGGTAATCCTTATCTTTTCTGAGCTCATTCTGTCTCCTGTATAATTTCGCCTTAGTGACATACAAACAAGTGGAAGGGGGCAGGAACAGGGGAAACACACCCGCCCACAAACACACACCTTCCCTTAAAATTGCTGTGCTACTTTTTCTTGTAGAGTAAGGTAACCCTGGGAAGCCTGATCCAGATCATGAGCATTGTGGGGATGTAACACCAATGATTTCGTAGGAGTTAATATGATGAGAGTACGGAAGCAATGCTATGCTGGAACAAGCCTGTCAGGAGCAGGATTTTGCCCTTGATTGAATTTGTGTTACTTTCAAGAGAGAAGGAATTAAACCGATACAAGGGAAGGGAGGATGTAGCACTTCGTTTCTGGCACAGTTGCTATACTTTAGAGAAAAGAATCCAAGTCAGAACAAGAAGACTTTATTCTACTACAGTTTCACACAGAAATACATAGGATGAACATGGTATGTTGATTTTTTAAATTTAGATATAGCAGAAAGTAGAATGCTCCTTGAGAGACGCTTTTGCTACAGGAAAAGCCCTTTGGAAAGGAAGCGGTGTTTTGCAAAAATAAAGCTCTTAGTGTGTAAGTGAAGGTCGTTATGTTACTCTATTTAGTTCATTTTCAACTATATTTCTTTAAAGAAAAATAAGAGGAAAATTTGTCCTCAAAAACAAGCTCGTCTTTCACAGCACATTATTTCAGCATTGGAAACTGCTTTTCATTTATGAATGTCCAAGCTCTGCAATTAGTAAATGCTTTTGTACAGATGGTGCCTAAGTGAGGATATCTTAAAATTAGTAGAGAAGACAGGTTTCTGAGAACAGATATGCTGGAAAGCAGGTGAAAAAATTAAACTGTAGGATTTCCTTGTAAAGGGATTTAAGCAACCACTTCAAACGCTTCAGAGTGCTTGTCTCTTTGCTTTCAGCCAGGGTTAAATACTTTGTGTAACCTCCCCCTACTTCTAATACTATTAAATCACTGAAAAGGGGCAAGACTGCAGTGATTTTGATTTTGTAAGACTTCATTAATCATTTAAACTGAAACAAAGACATTCAAATCCATTGTACTCCCATTGTCAAGAACTGTCAAGCCTCAAACAGTTAGTCCAGGTTTGGCTCCTCTCTTGTTATAACAGCCTCCAAATACTTTGCATTGGAAATTAGTCACTTGCCATAACAGCAGAATGAAAAGGATCTGTATTATTTGAATTTTCTCCAAACTACAATTAAGCTTCAAAAAAAAAGTCAAGCCAATCAGTGGGGGAAAAATACATTATTCATTTTTTCCTGCATTGTTCAGCTCCAGGTTTTGGAGATGTGGATGCTTTCTCTGTTCTGGCTTTTAGTAATCAAACTGCCTTTGATTTAGTGCCCTCTTCTGTTTGACATTGTGAGTGCATGTTGCCCAACGGTTAATTATTCTCAGTTAACCCTCACTGGAGGATAACATGTACCTGTAACTACTGAGAAAGAGAATAGCCTGGTGCAGGAAAAAAGATGCCAGAAGAAGGTGGGAGAGGAGAATTATGATCTCAGTACGTATTACTCTTTATCATCTTCCACTTAGTCTCCATATTTTTCTCTTTAATTCAATTGGCTTGCATGCTACAGTCAATGCTGAATTGAGAAGACAAAGTACAGATGGCCAGGCTTCCCGAGATGAAGCACAGGAACTGCAGCAGCGTATAGCACCTTTCCTAGGGCAAGAGCAGAACTCAAACACATACATCTTTTGAGAGGCAATTAAGTCATAAAGGTTTAAAATATGGAAGCTATTTATCATTACACAAGCAATATTCTTAGGTAATTAAATGACACTGAATCTGCATGTGAAGCTGGTACAAATAATTAACAGCCCACAGGAAGAAGAGCCCAACCCTCCACAGAAGTCCCCCATTCTTTTGCTCTGCACAAGCTGTTGAACATCAGTTGCTTTCAGCCTTTCAGAGCATGCTGCAGGCATCATTTGCATTTGGTGAAGAGTCAAGAAGTAGAGAATACAGAGCTTGAATTTGTGGATTGCTAAACCATTAAGCAAATCATACAGTTTCAACAAGCTGTTCATTTACCCATAGTTCAAACAACCAGCATGAGTAATTCCAGTACAGAGCCTCTAGTTTTCATCCTTCTCTCCATCCCAATAAAGCTGGGAGGCCTAACATCTCACTCAGCACCCCAAGTAAAGGATCAAACGCCAAAAAGGAGGAATTACCAGTCACCCAGGATGACATCCAACAGTTTTAACTTTACTTCCATAATCCTGTACATCTTCCATCTTCTGCAGCAAACATACCAGCAAGTTATACAAAGAGGAATTACTTTTCCTGCAAAGGCCTGAGTCAGCCCCAGAACAGAGCTGTCTGGGTGGTAACAAGGCAGCTATTCAATGGAAATGAGTTAACCCACAGACAGCACCAAGTGATACCTACCCTTACATCCTCATGCAGAAAACACCACCTGTTGCTGCACATCTCCCCCCACCCCGTATATACCTGTGGCCTGTAGGCTCTCCCCATATGCCACTGGCTCAGTCTTCCAGTCCTAATCATCAGCAGAAAGCAAACAGCACTGCAACAACTGGTTGTGGTCTGCTCAAGCAGTACTCGGCTGGGCTATACGCTTGCGTCGACCACCTATCGCCAAACCCAACAAAATAAACAGCTGATCTCCTTGACCATCAGTCGGTTGTTAGGAACTTTGTGACTCTGAGCCCTCCCCACTCTCTCGTAAAACAGAAGTTAGGGCTGGCCCGGTATGAGGGAGGGGAAGGAGAGAGACCGACAGGTGGGAAGAAAAAAGCACAACCTCAAAGCTTGTCTTGGGGAGGGAGAGTTCAGAAAACTAAACAAAAATTAATATTTGATTGCCTCATCAAGGCTTGCAGCATGGGCAAAAGAAATCTTGGTCATTCTCAGATTTTCCAAGTCTTGAATACTGACTTGCAGTTTTAATGGTCTTTTTAAATAATTATGTGTTGCCATGTTCTATGTTTTTAAGAAGCAAATGAAAATAAAACTGAAATTCGATATTGACAACAAGGGGCCAAGAGTAAAACTGCGACTATTAGGCTGACTTCATCTGCCTGTGACATTTCAGCTCTGTGGATCACTGCTAATAGTAATAGGTTGTCATCCTTCATCTGAACTAGCACTAGAGGGAGGTGAAACGCTTTGCCAGTGGGTTTCACAGATACTTGCTACTTACAGAAGTGCAGTGAGACTCAGGACTCTCCAATTTTATTCTGCGCTCTGAAGCATATTCTCAAGCACAAACTTCCTGTCTCCTTTAGTCTTACCATCTCCCTATACTGTCTGTTCTCTGCTCTAATTTCCCGTTCTCCTTAATGAGCCAATGCCCATTTCATTTTTTGTGTAGCAGGTCAAGAATTCATCTTTCTAGGGGTAGGGGACATAGAAAATTAATCTATGCGGCAATTATATTTCACGCTAACATGACGGATAAAAGTCGTCAATGAGGGCCACGGACCACTTAAAGCAGTGAGACAAAGAATTTCTGATCAAGCAACAAGGCATTTTGCACGCAGTAATTGGCTATTTCTTTTCCAGCAAGGCCTGCTGGACATTCAGCAAGGCCTACAATTTCAGAAACCTTACTGCCATCTGTAGAAATTAGAAGTAGAAAGATTTATCATTGGAAATAAGTGGGGAAAAAAAGGAAATAAGAGGCAGCGCATTTAAGAGTATGCACAGCATAGGACGTTTAATCTACCAGATAAATAGACTCTCATCCAACAAAATATCAGTTTAAGACTTTTATTCCTGTAGCTTTGTCTGCAACAATGGCTTTTAATCACAGTGGCTTTATCCTTTCAGTATAAGGCTATGGTATTGCTTCTCGAAGCAAATGCTTCTTGATTTTGCCTCTGCATTATTCTAGTTATTCATAAGCAGGTGCAGGAAGAATAGACTGTATTTTTGTCAGAATGCTATTATAGCTTGCTTCATGATGGGGGGAATGACAATACGTTTCTTTGTGCAATGGGTAGGAATGTTATAATACGGTGCTTTTTTCTAAGGTTCTGTTGGAAGAAAAAGCAATCAGTTATACCTTAAAATTCACAGTTTCTATATAAATTGTATATGGTATGTCTTGTTTCACGCCTGAATTAGAATTATCACCGTATTGGGATGGCTGTAATGCTTTTAAGCTGGTGGGGAATCTCAACAGAAAATTTGTAGTAGATGTGCACATGCGTGGACATGTGTGTGTGCATGCCCATGACACGAAAGAGATTCAAGAGAACAGTGTCATACAAACCTGTTATTCATTATAGATTATTTATTATTAAGATAATACTAACAAGACAAGAATATTTACTGATTACGCGTTTTGAAAAACAAAATAAAAGGCCACAATTTTCAAACTCTGCCTGAGTTGTTACATAACCCCTCTCTGGGAGAGAAATTTTGACAAGTAACAGCTTTTTCCAGGTTTCCAAAGCTATGGATTTTTCACTAGTTTTTAAGAATTCTTGTGCATGTGAACACCTATGCTGTAGTCTTTAATAGGGATTTTGCTGACCACCTCCAGGCTCACAGAGAGGAGCTTAACCGTAGCCAGTATTGCTCATGATTCGTGTAAGTCTTCTCTCAAATCTCCATTTCATTATGCCGCCACTGCATGTCCCTGCTAAGACAGAACAACACAGCAAGACTTTCACAAGGTGAAAAAGGTTTGGTGGGAATGGGGCTCACCACTCCCAACCACCCACGATAACTTCAACCTGCATTATTTTGTTTTCCAGTTTCTCTAATGTGCTATGATGTATCTATTGCTACTACTTGCAAAAGGTTAATGTTCTCAAAGCAGGAGACTGCTTTAAACTTTTGAAAAGTTTACTCCTGGATACAATTGTGCAAGGAAGGATAACATCTAAAAAGTTTGTGCAGGAGGAAAATTAGACTTTGTACAGCCAAATGTCCTATCGTTAGTATTGTAAATTCAAAGTTGGGAGAAAACATGGTTGTTATTTTCCCCTGTGACCCAATTTAAAAATACCAACAGGTAATTTTACTAGTAAATAGCATAGTAAAACTTTCTTCTTAAATTTTAGCATGGAATGGTACAATACTATAATTATGCAGCACAGTTTGGACAAAAGGTAAGACATCATTGTAGATAACTAGGCAAAAAAGAACTAAAATGAGTTCACGTGACACAGATTCAGTTAAGTCTACTGCTTCTCTTAGTACATGTGTTTATTATATGCTGGATGGTGCTTTGACATTTATTACTACATGCTCCTTTCTAAAACAGAGTGGTTAATTACAGAAGCATCTCTCTAACCAACTTAAATCGTATTAGGTTGTCTGTTTCAGTAATGAATACTCATCCTAATAAGCAGTGTGTGGTATGACAAACTGCACAATTTGTTTTATGTCTCCAAGGCAGAGTACGAGGTTTCGCACAGGAATCCGCTGGTTGACTGCCCAAATATTTCCATTAAACTTTTCAAAGGCTTCAATGCTGCTCACTGGGAAAAAGAAAAAAGAATGTTTTAGAGGGAGCAAAAGTAAATGATGTTTAGCAACAGACTTGATACATCATGACTTTTTCTTTGCAGACCTCCAAAGCGCACTGTATTTTTGACTGCAGGTTATCAGTTAAATGTGTTGTAGCATATAAACACTACTTCTTTGTAAATCCTACTTATCTGATGGCTTGTAAAAGCTTGCTGTGCTACCACCAACAAAGCAGAATTTTAAGGAATCCCTCATCTTCAGCTGTGTTACTAAGATATTAATGAATTCCTCTGCACGTCGGACAAATTCCACCAAGCCTTATTTCTACAAAAAGTTACTTGATTAACTTGAAGCATGAGGTAAACCAATTGTGTTTGCTGAGATTACTGATATAAGTAGCTTCCCAGTGATGTGAATTCAGGACCAGCAGCCACACACAGGACGGCTGTACTCTGAGAAGAAAGTGGAACAATAATATATGCTCAGTTAGATATGCTTTCAGCATCAGTTCAAGGCTCCATCTGAGATTTCATCCACCACTGCTATTTCTAGCCCTTCACGGAATAATAAGTATTTTTTTAAAAAAAGTGAACCGGATACTATTTTCTCATATCATCAAAATTCTTTTGATTTTTTTCTTTGACTACTTCAAAATGTATAACGTGATTCGATGCAAACTGAAAGTTAAGAACCATACCCTAAAGTGTTTACAATTAAACATACTAAAAAATTAGATCTCTTCTAACTGGAGGTGCATTGTGGCTGATGACTTGCAAAATAGAAAAAGTCAGCCTGGCTTTCAGTCCCGCAGCAATCTTGCAGCACTTAGAACTGAAATGCTTTATAAACATTTTTTTTTTCAAGAACACTGAATCCGAGCTCATGAAGAGACACTTTTTGTAACTTTGTGATGTTACATCCGTAAAAAGTCATTTTTTGAAGAAAAGAACCCAAACAATCTAAGCAGTCATTCTGGGCACCCATATTCTGGCAGAAAAGAGAGTCACTTTTTTCCCCTGTTTTCAATTTGTTCCATAAAAGGGGTTTCATAACAGTTTGCCTTCCCTCCTACCCCCTTTTTAGTTACTATCTCTGCCTTCATTAATGAAACTGGATTGGTTGTCATCCAAATGAAAATCTGGGTTAACATTGAAACAATTTTAGCGCTGCAAAACATGTATGGGGGGGAAAGGAAGACTTCATAAATTCTATTACTTTCACTGTAGCACTGCATTCATGTGTCCCAGGGTGGAGACAATTTCTTGGTAACTTGGTTTGCCAATGTGATACTCTCAGGTGCCCTTAGCTTTCTCCTTGAGCAAAACCAGCAGCTTGAGACACACGCTCCTGCTGCTTTTTGGCACATCCCAGCCACATTCATTAAACACCCATTCCCCTGCATGTCATTATTCCCAGTACAATACAGCAATTGGTAGCGAAACATATCCTGCACAAGCATTTTGTAAATTATTTTACAGTTGTGGGCTTGTTTGGGTTTGTGTTTTTCTGATTAGATTTGAGTGCTAAAACAACATGAAAGAAAGACCCAAGACATTTGGTTTATTTATTAATGCAGTTAAGAATAATATTTACCTTTTATCACATGAACATAAGAGACATGGTTATTTTATATTGCACTGGATGATGGAATAAGCAAATATGAGTTTGAGAAGGATTCATACAGCTTTATTGTTATGTTCTAGGTGTATTTAGTACATACTTTGCCAGAGTACAATGAAAAATAACACTTTCTCTGCTCCATTTCCTTCTACTCTTGTGTTGGTGCTCCAAAAAGTAATATGAATTGTTGACTGGGAGCAAAGGTAATTTTGAGAATCCTGACCTGGGAGGTTTATTTGCGTAACTTTCAGTTGTTTCTGTTTTAGTTAATATATTTTCTACCAAGGTCCATGTTCATATTTCAGCCAACCTTTTTTTCCCTTAGGTTTCTATCACCATCTTGCAGTCCATTTTGGAAAGCAAAGTCACGTGGAACGCAAAACTCAGACAAAATATTTTATTCTGGAACGTAATGAAGCCAACTGAGCAACTTAAGCATTCCTTAGTCCCACTGAGTGCACCAGCTCCTTAGTCGCGTACTTCACTAGGCATACCCTGAAGGATGGGGCCCAAGAATAACATTGTATTCAATATTTTTCATTAGCACAAACTAAAAGTGCAAAGAGACTGCTCCTGAAAAATATCTTTAACAAGTCAGAAGGTTAGAGCTTCACTGTGCTCACCCTCAGGATGACAAGAGAGGAGTTCACTTAGACAAAGCAATAATTCAAGAGCCCGATATCTGTATCATTTAAATCGATGTCCACTGAACTCTGGTTGCACAGAAGAAAACTAGATTTCTCACAACTCTTGGGTCCTAATCCAATTTTCATAGGACTAAAATAATGCCATAAGCAAATATCCAGTGTGACAGTTGATATCACAGTGAAGTTTTGCTCCCCTACCTCTAAAAGATGCCAACAATGATTCTTAAACGATAAGAAATACTTCAGTTAAGTTCTTTTTACAGTGTACTTGTTGGGGTGGAAACAGAATGTACATGCAGACTTTCCACTTGCTGCAACTGCCACGAGCTGAGAAAAACAGAAAGGTGAATCGCAGGCAAGCTCATGCTGGAATTGTACCATGTACCTTTAGGAATCCTTAGCAACATCTTCAGGTGTCGTCTCTTCCGTGGAAACTGAAAATGGAGACAAAATACCAGTGAGAAATATTTCTCTTGTTTAGTAGAGTATAACTACAAAACAAAGGAAATGACTTATTCAGCTATAAATAAGACAAATCCTTCGGGCCAAAGGGAAAAGATTTTCCAAGTAATACTAGAGATACAGACATTTTCCTTTTATCTGTCTTATTTCTAATTTTAATAGAGTTTAGAGCAACTTCCAAAATGCTTTGAAAATCTCCAGTGTGATGATTTTTAACACACGTGCTATTGTACACCTTCAACTGCAACACAGCAAAGGGTCATTTATAGCTGCATTGAAGCACTGTAGGGTTTATAAATATAACATTTTCTATATTTGTCTTTATGGGAATATAATCAAGAAAAACCCATCCTTCAAATTAAATAAGCTCAAAAAAAATGTGTCACATCACATGCAGCAAAAGGGAGAATTTCCTTTGTTTAATAAATTTTACATCTAACAGCAGAGCACTGAGCTTAAAGTGCCCTGGTGGTCCAGCTTAGTAATACTCATTTCTGAAGTACAGCAAATAATTTCAAACTTAAATTTTCTACTCACAAAAGACACTAAGATGCCAAACACAGTCATCATTAGCAGACACATTGTGTCACTTAATGTGTCCTAGATGCTCTTGCAGCTAGTCCAGTGCCAATAGTCATTAGTTTTTTTCAGAGACAAAACATTTCAGATCCCGCTATGCTGTGCACCTTCTGAAGTTTGCCCAGACTCCTCAGCATCAGCTTCCTGGTTCCTTGAGGCCACGTCAGACATCTCTTGAGCTGCTGAGGCTACTCCTTCTTTGACACTGTCTAAGTTTTCCTCATGGGCAGAAGAAACTGCAACATCCAAGCCTTCACCCACAGTTTCTATGAATCAAATTAGAGAGATAATTGTCTTGTCTTTGCTCTCCATTCATCACCACAAATGAGGAAGAGCACTCAAGGCTCACCACATGTGAGGTACCTGCTTAACATGCAGACTGGAGTCAAGAAATTGCAGGCAACAAGACCTATGAGGTGATTAAATTTTAGCACGCCAATAAAAGTTTGCAAGTGGAATTCCAGGAAAAGTAGGGGCTAGTATCTGACTCTCCCTAGCCCTGGGGCAGAAAACTCTAAACACCAGCTCTTCCAGTGTATTTGGCCAGAGGTATGTATTCTCTAAAGTGCATATTCTCTTACAGATACCCTCATTTTATTTTCTGGTTTCTGTCAAATTATGGATGTGCAAGACATAAATGTTAACATGTCAGTGGAAATAAGCCTAATCTGATAAACACCATAGGACACGATGTATATTTTCCCATATTTTTGCAAAGATGTCACCAGCGGTTTTAATGCAGAAACATCCTAACATCAGGCTGAGAGATTAGGCTGTGATCCAACGTAGCATGACTGCCAGCCAGCCTTCTTTCAATGCTCGTTAAAGATGAAGCAACCAATTTGTATAAAAGGCCTGTACTCTGCCTATTTGTCCAACCATTTCCACATACCCGCTGCAGGAGGACTGAACACATCAGCCAGAAGTTACATCTTAAGCGGTACTTGAGTAAAATCTCTTATTGTGTTCTTCTCACTTCTCTATTAGAAGTCTCAGCATCAACACACACCTCAACTGCTCTGCAGGGCAAGTTGTACAGGGACTTGGTTGTTACAGCCTGCGTCCCATACCATGATCCTTGTGTGTTACATCCAGTTAACTAAACTGCTTCATCAGAAGTGCAAGAAATGCAGCGGGCAGGAGTGCTGTAGAGCTACTATCCCATGGTTTTTTTTCAAATATCAGCTTGCAGATAATTAACTATGGCATATTCTGAACTTCAGCTATTTGACTTTGTTTAGCAGAATACTGACTGAATTTTGAAGAAGCAACAGAAACACTCAAGAATTGCTGCTTTTGTCACTATAGGGAACGGCTACCCTGAAAAACAGAGCATTTAAAATTCAGAACATTATGTATTTTATGGTTAGCATCCCTTGATGCAATGCAACATATTTGCTGCGAGGACTAGCTGCTGGTTTTAAATTTGTAACATCAAACATTCAGTTCATATTACAAATACTTTGCTCTCTGGCTTATGGTATTTTGTCTTGCTAATTTTCATTTAATGTGATGTTTCACTATTTCAATTTCTTTTGTTTTAACAAAAGCAGAGCAGTAAACAAGTGAGCAACATGCATTTTTCTGCGGGTTTATTTTTCAATAAAAAAAACTCACTTCCTCTGAATGCGAATTGTGTTCAGTTGTCACCTACAGGAATACCTGCCTTGAAAACAAATGTTAACATTTACACCATGTGTACTGAATGATTTGTGTCCAGCCCGAAGTGTACTGCATACCTATCAGAAAGGCAACCTACTGCAACAAAATATGGATTGCTCACAGTTTATCCACCATGGTCTGTGCAGAGCAGTTGTCACTCCCTAAAATGCAAAGGAACCTGTTGTAACTTGCATTTTTGGCAAAAAAAATTTGCATTTTTTAAATCCTTGGTCTGTACATATGAATAATTGTCCCCGGCTACCACAGAAAACTCTAGCTAGTAGTTTCATTTTTAAAAAAATTCTCAAGTAGCTTTCATGTTTGTTCTTTGAGCACATGCAGGTAGAATTTCATAAGAATCACCTTTCTGTTGCCAGAACTTATCTGCTCTTGTCAGGAAGAGAAAGCTGAAAATAGCTTGTGATGAGAATGCACTTGTTCGCTGCAGTGTCAGGTGTGGCAGCTTGCACTGAGTCATTACCCATTTCATAATGCGTTATCACTGAGAAGGACTCAGCTTGTCCTATACAGATCATCTTGGCACTGTTTTTTGGCCTGTTGCAACTGTGATAAGCCACCTAAATGTCATTTGGTGCTTTGAGCAGAGCATCGTAACAATGAGAATTGCTCCTTTTGTAATTATGTGCTGTCCTTACAACTAAGGCTTTCTTGATTATATATGAAATTAGAAGTTGCATACCACCTTATTGAAGTTTTACTAGTACATGTATGGAAAACTATTAAACACTAAAGAAAATAGGAGCTTCTTAGTATTGCTAGAATTAGCTATCAAGAAAAAAAAGCTATGTGCCACTCTGTGTAGTCTTCTATTACAGCCCAATTACTGTTCCTGTTCAAAAATGAAGTGTCACACATGTTAAAGATGCACTATAGTATACACAGGAGGAAGGCTCTTTGCATGGGTTTTTGGCTTAAGTAAGAGTTTTTGTTAACTTCATCCAGAAAAAGAACTCGGATGCATTTCTACATCCCAAGTACTGACCGTCTGGTGGTATATACAGTTCTTCAAAAATGGATACAAGTGATTGCACTGTGATGAAATTCACACTTTGTTTCTTCTCAAGTCCATACTGAACAACTACTACTTTTCAGACCTACCATTGTTGAGGTATCCTGAGCATATTGTTGTACCAGTCCAGGAATGTGAAAACTATTTTGAACTTGAATGTGTCATACAACTCTCTGGGTATTTTTTGGTAGTTTGCATGCAGCTTGGTCTTGGAACAAACGGTCTATAATCGGTCTATTCACAATATAAGTATGTTTCTCCCTGTTCTGGGGAATTCCTTTGATCCCAGGCAACACAAAAGTAATGATTACCTCAAACAGGTCAGCCACCTCTTTCAGAATTGTGACAGTGACAGTCCCTTCTCTGTGATTTGCATTAGGGTCCATCAACCTGCCTACCCTATTAACCGGGCAGCAGGACAAGCATTACAAAGTTTAGGAATTTCTCCTTTTTGTTTCCCTATATGTTAAACTTAATCCCAGTCTGAAAGTCTGCTGAACTTCTAAATAACTCAGTGCTAATTTTTTTAAAACAGTGTGTACTTCATATTTTTTCAGTCCTGTTTAATTTCTCTTACTTGTTCCAGCAGGTACACCTTACTTGATAAGAGAGATTTTACTCTGTGCCAGGTACAGTAATGGCTCACTCTCCGTAACACTAGGAAGAACGATTTTGCTCTTCTATTTGTCCAATTTTTTTGAAGTTACTAACAAGTCTGTCATGCAACTCTATGGGAATCAGCAGATGATGTAATTGAATTCTTTTAACTTTTGTTAATTCAAATTCTAAAACAGCTAAGCTTTATTTTTTCAAAATAAATCATAGAGAAGTTACAGCATCTTAATGGATACCATGTTGTTACCCAAGAACTGACAAGTCTGAAATTCTGAAGTCCTTGTATTCCTTGTGCAGTGACGACTGTCACCCATTTTCTTGTCTTTATGCCAGCTTCTTACAATTTCCGCAGGCTTGGAAACAAAAATATGACTGGGCAGGAGCATACTACACTTGCTATCAAACGCAACACCAAACCATTTATGTTATGAAAGCACATCTGTTTTGAGTTATTACTGAGTAAATAGGAAAAAGGAAATTAACTCTACAAACAAAAGGAAATCAGGGGTTTTTTGCTTGTCTTGTTTTTTCTATAAGGTAGTAGCATTAGGACATTCCAGTAGCTTATTGGCACTGCACTGACCTCTAGTTCCACTTAGAAATGTAAGTTTCCCAAAACGGTAACTCCATCATCTCAGCAAACAAGAGCTGCTCCTTGAATAAAATAATTATTTCTGCACACTTTAAAGACACCAGTTTTCTCTTTAAAATGCTACAATTGCAGCACAGGGAGAGCAAGACTTTATTTCTGCGCAGTCACAACAGACCAGAAAATATCCCAAATGAATTGCATTTCTGCCTTCTTATGATTTTCAACTGAACTGTCTGAGTATTAGGGAGCTCAGCTTCCTCCCAGCAGAACACAGAAGTGTGATAAGCAGGGACTTGCATGACTTATATGACTGACAAGAATCTTTGTTCCAGGTAATAATAAAAACAAGCAACAAAAAAAAAATTTTTGATTGACTTCCAGAATCCAGGTCCTACTACTTGGAAAGCAGTGGGGGAAGATGCTATAAATTACCTTTAAAAGCTTTATAACATTGCAGAGGGTCCATTTATACAGAAGCAGCCTGGAAGTTTGCCTGGGCCTCAGAGCTCTGGTCAGAAATGGAATCGACTTGCACTGGCAGTCCTCAACTACTGACGGGGAATAGCAGGCTATAGGCTGGTCATGAAGCAGGCAGATGAAAGAGAGGTATGGAACAAATATGGGTCCTGCTCATAAGCTGATCTGAAATCTGCTAAAGAACTTGATTTTTTCAATAATTTTTCTACGAGGAAATGTTTCTGATAGTACTTCTAACCCAGGAGCTGTTGCCAGGTTTTAGAGTTCAGTGATCATAAAGCTGCATTTACTACGTCGTGTTTCATACCCAGCACCATGTGCGAAAGGTGCTAACAGAGCAACCTAAGAACTGTCAACTGTGTACATGTAATCTGAGATTATTAAGAATTCCTAAAGACAACAATAGTATATGCAAGATTAAGTAAGACCAAAGTAAGGTCCGACGAAATAAGCAGGTTTTATACAGTAACCTGTCAGCATTGTTGAGAAATGCAAGCAGACAAGTGGGAAGTGAAAAGTTCTAGCCTTCTGTCCTGCCAAGTCTGGACTATGCTGGGAGGAAGGTATCTTCCTTTGTTATAACAAAGGAGTCTCCTCAGTGCTAATTTAAATGACTGCTTCAAACCTTAAAGCAGTATTTCAAAAAAAATCTCAACCATATTTACAGGAGGTCTGGATCTTCAAATTTCCACTAAGATAACAGATAGTCAACAATTGATAAGAAAACAACAAGTCTTTTACATATAGAAAGGGAAGGAATATAAAAAGGAAAGAACCACTTCTCTCCTTCCTCATGCAGATGAAGCACTTCAGCTTGTGAAAGAAATACTTCTCTTAATACTTAAAGGAAACTGCATCAAATACAGCATTATTAAAATAAGAAGTGATCA